CTGAGGCCATCTCCTGGGCCAGAAGGTGGTGCTTGTGCACTGAGAGCATCAACATTTTCAGCAATTTCTACAAAACAAGTCAAAGTGCCTTGGCCTTCCTCCACAAACAGATGAACGACCCAACCCACAGTCCTTACGACTTCCAAGCCCCCATCTTTTGGAGACCCAGCGAGGCACACTGCCCCACAAGGCCGCCTTGGACCACCTCAAGTTGTTTGATGGGATGGCCCTGTGACAAGAAAAAGTGAATGGTGGTCCCTGTGGCCCTCAGGGTCGTGTGTCTGAAGCAGACAAGGAAGTTGGCCTGCCTAGGGCACCTGGCTCATGAGGTTGGCGGGAAGTACCAGGCAGTCACAGCCACTCTGGAGGGGAAGAGGAAGGACAAGGCCAAGCTCCATTCCCGAAGAAAAAGCAGCTCACGAAGCTATGGAAACAGGCAGAAAAAACGTGAAGAAGACTGACAGATACACAGAGATCCTCAAGACTCATGAACCCCTGTTCTGAGCCCAAAATTGTTAATTCCTTAGAAAAGGAAAAAAAAAAAGCCAGAACTCCCATGTATAGGAAATGGTTTTGGCTTAAAACTAGGGAATTATTGGGTGAGTCATTCTAATTGTGGCTTCCAGGAACTAGAGTATTTAAGTGAATAAAATCAGAATGGGAAATGAATACAATCAAGATAAAATAAATAAGATCAGCAGTGGTAATAATAAATAATGCTTACATCTGTGTAACACTCTTGTCTACAAAGCACTTTTATTTTCAAAGGAGGAACATTAAACTGAGAATGTTAGGTGTCATGCTGAAGGTCACAAAGCTAAAATAAGCAGAGTAAAGGAGTTTTAACTGGATATTTCAACATCAAGTCTACAGCTCCTTCCACTGCTCTGTTTCTTTGCCACCTGTAAGATGGGCATCTTTGTGCTACAGACGGGCCTAGGATGCCTTTAATGAGCTCCGATGTTTCCAAATCACTTAAGTGTATCTTTCAACTTAAACAAGATAACCTAGGTACAGCCTTAGAAAATACCCTGAAAGAATGAAGAAGCCCCTCAGTGTTGCAAATCTTCACATTCTCCATGTTATACTATTGACTGAGAAATGCAAGGTGCAGCACTGGCCAGGCGGCTCAGTTGGTTAGAGGGTTGGCCCAATAAACAGAGGTTGTGGGTTCGATCTCTGGTCAGGGCACATACAAGAATCAACCAATGAATGCATAAATAAGTGGAACAACAAATCGATGTTTCTCCCCTTCTCTCAAATCAATAAATAAAAAAGATAGTTAAAAAATGTTTAAAGAAAAATGAAAGGTGCCATGAAGTGTGTGTAATATCTACTGTTTGCACAAAAGCACTGCATAGGAATGCATTTAAATGTAGTTGCTTGTCTATGAACAGATTATCTCTTAAAAGCCACATAAGAAATTACCAACAGTGGTTACTTCCAAGAAGAGAAAATGGTGGCTAAGCCATCAGGGACAAGAACACAACTTTTCACTGTACACATTCCCTTTTAAACCTTTTGAATTTTGAACCACATACAAATGCTCTCTTTCAAAACGTAAATTTAAATTTAATATATCATGGGAATTGAACCAGAGGCAATGGTTAGGTCATTCAAGGTGAAACATTTCAGAGATAGGACATAACAGAAGAGAAAAGTAAAAAAGTATTACAAAGTTTCTGTCAGACTCCAGAATTCCATGTGTTGCTTCAATGTCTGAAGTAAATATTCCTCAAGACCATCCAATTTTTCTCGTTTTAGTTCTCTGCTCATTACATAGCTCTCAATTTTTTACAAACCTTGATACTGAGAAAGGAAAGTCCCAATAGCGGACACAAGTATTCAGGTCATCAGAAAGGTAGATCCTTTCATGGTAAATAAGACAGTGTCTAATTTAAACCAGTCTCTGAAGAGGTTGATAAGGAGTTATTTCAGGCACCCTGATAAAACATGGAACTGCAGAGCTAAAGACTAAACCTTGGGCCAGTAAGACCCCACCAAGGGGCTATGCAAAAATGGGACACAGCCTCTGCTAGGTAGAGTTACCACTGACATACCAGAAATTTTCAGTATGTTTGTCCTCTGTTCTATCACTACTGTGACTTAAATCAGCTGAAAAACTTACCCTAAACATCACAATAACTTGAAGATTTGGGATGGTGAGGAAACCACATCTTTGGGCTTGGAGCAAGTCACAGTACTTTTTTATTTTTTAAGGCAGTACCAAATCAGCTTCCTCTCCCAAACAGGAATCACTTCCGTGCCTTAGGGGTCCCAGAAACTGGTGAGTCTTATGCTCAAGAGATTTATAAAAAACCAGGACCAACAAACTTATACTACATAAAGAAAATACATAAAGAGAATACATTCTTGTTCTCTACTCTGTTTAAATTATGTATCAAAAGATAGTAACATTCTTAAATAAGTACAAGGTTTTCAAAAGAAGAGTCATTGCCAAAGTGTTATTTTTGGAACATTACAAAATACCTGCTCCTAGATCTGCAGTCCAGGGCTACATCATCTGATTTAACATGAATGGATTAGCAATCACTCATCAGCTCCTGTACCATTGGCTCTCAATTTTCTAAGAAAGGACATGAGACACAGAGATAAATAAACTCAAATCCAAGTCTCATTTTAGCCAACGTTTTTTTAAATTCCTTCTCCCATTAAATACATTTTTTACTACAGCTAACAGGCAACTTAATCTATTGATGCAAATGTCTCTTCTTTCCACCATCTGACAGTTTGCACAATCATTATGACAATGAAGATCAGGGGAAAGGAAGAGGAAAATGAGTGAGAGGGGCTGAAAGAATGGAAGGGGTTAGATAATTTACAAACTGGATAAACTGAGGCTTTACGTAACTGAATTGAAAGATAACTGACATCTCAATTTTAATACAATGATCAAGTCACTGAAGCCACTGAGACAAAATGTAAAACTAATTTGTGAAAAGAAATTGTTTCAGGAACCAGGATTCGACCATCAACGGCAGTTAATAAGGTTTACCAGCCAGCAGTTACTAGTTCTCATTAAGAATTAACCAATGTTTCATTACCTGATCCCCAGTAATGCTTTGATAAAGAGCAATGGAAAATTTGGAGGAAGAACTGATGAATCAGCCTCTCTCTTCCATATGTTACATTTTATTGGAATATGAGTAAGAATTAGAGTGGTATGACAAACGGGGGGGTGGGGGTGGTAATAATCATCAAAATGACATCTGACTCCCCAAATGTAGCATGCTCACTCCAGTGGGTTGCTTCACTGTGACTCAAGCTCTGTCAACCGAAGACATAAAGGAATTTGAGTAAAGCCAAGAGATACACTCCTAAATTTTAAACAGAATCTTCCAATAGATTTAGGACAAGATCTAATGAGAGTCAACTTTAAGAAATTAACCTACTCAACATATATTGATTCTAAAGTACTTTGAAAATGAATTCTTGCTAATGCAAAAATTCAGTAAAGAAGTCTGGTGACCTGCTTTCCTAATGACACATGCCATTTATCTATTGGTAGAGAGCACTAAAATATACTACTAGGTGTCTAGTATCATCTCCCTGTTCTCCTCACATAACCTTATTTTTCTAAAATAAAAGGTAATTAGTGAAAGCATCAATTATGCATATACTTCCGTTCTCAACATTTCAATCTTTCCTGTATACTATATGCCCAAAATGCTATCTGGCAAATCCAAGGCATTATGAACAGAAGTCAATTAACAATAGCTCCCAAAATATAACTATCTTTCTCCCCAACCGAAGAAAAAAATTTTTCCCAACTCTTCCAATTATATTCCAAATAATTCAGGAAGAAAACAAGGAAACAAAATAGTCATGGGTGCTTGTATCTATAAATTTCAAGTACGAACATTTCACTAATAACCATGCTTTCCTATCATCCTGATTTTTAATTCGATCAAACCATGAACCTTTGAGGGCACAGAAAACAAAGACTAAATGACTCTGCCAATGTATAACGATCCTATTTCACCTTTAGAAGGGTAATCACCACGGAAGCAACCAATTCAATGCATCCCTAGCTTCCTTCTCTCCCGTGATTAAACGGACCCTACACTATGGCCACAGTCCGCCAGCTCCTGCCACCACGCGCGCATTAGGCCTCAAGCGCACGCTCCGCCAGGGCCAGGCTGTCTCGAAGTCCGCGCTGTGTCACCGCATAAAGCACTTTCCCGCTGCACAGACCCAGGAAGAAAGCCACCGAAGCCCTGTCAGACCTCAGCAAGCCTGCGGCATGACAGAAGGGGCTGCTAACCAAAGGGCAGGCAGCCACGGCCGCCACCTTTACAGAATCATTTAAGCACTTTCGTCCCCATCAGCAGCAGCACTTTCTTCCTCCCCC